CAATCTCCCCACTTGACTGGTTTTTGCCTGATTCTTGACTGTATTCCTTTCAGTAACCTTGTGAACTTCTCTGCCTCAGAAGAAAAAAGAATATATTGTTTGATAAATTATATGTAATATCTAACACTAAATTCGGTTGAGAACAGTTTAGGATAATGAAGAAAATTTGCTGGTAGCAATGAACATTGAGGTCCATATGCAAATATGTGAGGGGATAGATGAATGTTCGGAGACGGGAGGAGGAGGGAGGGGAGACGGGAGGGGATGAGGAGGGATGAGAGAGATTAAGTTTGGGAATTTTGTGAAATTTGGGGTGGGGTATGTGTGGGTATATAAATTAATTTAATTTAAAATATCATTATCAATATTAATTGTTGAAATTAAAACCTGATTTTTGATTAAAAAACGTTTAAACCTGCTTTTTAAGAAGTTAAAATTAAACACTTGGTCTAGTTAAATTTTCCCTATCTATTCATCCACCACCAAATCTCGAGTTAATTGTTTCTGGTCGCTAAACTTATATCTATGTCTTCGTTTGCTCACCAAACTTTAAAATATTGAGTTTTAGCCACTGAACTTCGAAAAACGTTGTGCATTACTCACTGACATAACTTCCGTCTCAAACCTCTAACGGAATTGGTGATTTGGCTGACGGAATGCACATGTGGTGCCCCGTCACACTATTAAATTTTGAGATAGTCAAATTTTAGCCACTAATCTTTAAAAATGTCTTCTATTGCTCATTGAACTTTGATGTGATAGAATTTTGACCACTGAACTTTGAGATAGTCGAACTTTGACCGCTAAATTTTGAAAAAGTCTACTATTGCTCACTAAAAATTCGGATTTAATTAAACCTCTGTTTATCTCTCTTGAAAACAAAACTTTTTAATTTTCATACTCATTTTTAATCACAAATTTATACAATAAAATATTTTACACGCAAATTCAAAAATTTTCCCGATTTTTGAACCACACATTCTCCAAAAAATTACTATTTCAAACTCTTTTTTAAAATAATAATGGATATCGAACAAGGGCTAAAATTCATTGTTAAATTCAAATTTAATTTTAACAATAAATATGTTGTGTGTTTTATTGCCATTAGTAGTTACTTTCTTTGCAAGCATAGTCGATATCATTAGGAACGACCATTCAACTACACGCTAGTTAAATTTAATTTTAATTTATTTTTTGTAAATTGTAAGCTATTTTCATCATAATATTTGAATTTTACAATGAAACACACAATGAATTTGTTGTTAAATAAAATTAAATCCAATTTTTAACAACGAATGTTAACTAAGTCCAAATTTATTGTGAGCCATAGAAGACATTTTTCAAAGTTTTGAGGTAAAAACTTGACCATCTCAAAGTTTAGTTGCCAAAATTCAACTATCTCAAAGTTCAGTAACCAAAATTTGGCCACCTCAAAGTTCAGTGAGTATTAAAAGATATTTTTCAAAGTTTAGTGAGTAATTGAAGACGTTTTTCAAAAGTTAGTGGCTGAAATTCGGCCACCTCAAATTTTAACAGCATGATGAGGAGCCAAATGTGCATTCGGTCAGCCACGTTTCAATTCCGTCAGATATTTGAAGGGGAAGTTAGCCAATGAGTAAAATCCAACGTTTTTCGAAGTTTAGTGGCCAAATCTTGACATCTTAAATTTCAGTGAGCAATCGAAAATATAAACATAAGTTCAATGACTATTGGAATAATTAACTCCCAAATCCCTAATGGAGAAGGAAGGCATATGGGTGTTAATTTGACTCGGCAGCCCGTGGTTCTTTTTCCTGAGCCAGCCGAGCCCCATTTTAAAATGTCGGCTCGAGCCCGAGCCAACCCTTATCATGGGCCATTTTCGACCCGCACTTGATCGAAAAGACATATGCTCCAGTTCAAAAGGCTGCCTATTCTGAACAAGCAAGTGCTTAAACTCCTCTTCAAGCCTTGCCATAGCCATCTGAAGGACATCATGAGCCCTACGCAGAAGTGTCGTGTCTTCACTACCATTATTTAAGCTCAATCTCTCCAAACTCTCAGTCAACTTTCGAGCTTTGTCCACAGCCTTCAAATACTCATAAGCTTCTTCTGGGCCACAATCCCATATAATCGCCTGATCCCTTTCCCAACTCAAAACCTTATCTTGTATCAAATCAAGCTGCTGCTCAATCTCATTAAGTCCATCATTTTCTTTCACTCCCTCATCTTTCTGTTCCTTCTCTCTAGTTATATCACACAACTGCATGCATAGATTCGACAAAATTTTCTTAGAATCATCCGTCAAATTCTTCTTCATTTCAAGAGGTTTCATGATTTTCTTCGCAGCAGCTACCAGTTCTTCTTCTGTTTCCATCTCTGTGAAGGTAGGTTTACAATCTCCCATATCATCAAACAATCCAAATTCAAGAAATCTCACAAATCCAAATATAAATTTTGAAATTACTAGACTAAAAACATTCACCCACAAAACTAATTAAATGCAAACAAAAAAGAAACATATAATAATCCTAAGCAATTTTGCAAAAACGAGCAGAGCAAAACAAATTTAATATGGGCCAGCAACATAAGGATCTTCACAAGAAAGAAGTACATACATATGTTTTAAGTATATTATTAAGTTGCTGCAAAAATCAAGGAAAAAAAATTAAAAATTGTTATACCCAGAACAAAATTCATAAAATTGAATTAAAAAAACGCAGAAACACATTCTGCTTTGTAACTTAAATAGTTGTTGAAAGCGAACAGGGGAAACTATGACCAACCCTATTGAAGCAGTGCCGCCAAATCAGCCGCTACGTCGAGTGACTGCAATGCCACCAAATCCTCCACCGACACCCCAATCTTAGTGGACAGTGGCGGTATATCAGGTGCCGTTAGCTGCAGCTGGGTAGCGATGCTTCTGGGCTCTGGCCACGGTAGTGATAGCAGGACGAAGGGAGTGGGATTGGAAGAGAGAGAAGGAAGAGACGAATTGGAAGAGAGAAGGGCGATGGGTTTGGAGCGTTTCCCGTGTTTTCCAATTGTCTAGGTGTTTTGTATTGAAAATTCCAAAACGGCTAAAAAGCCGTTTTCCATTTTCTTCACAATTTTTTTTTTTT